AGCACCTATTAAAATCAATGTCGCCTTACGTTATGTTTTCGCCCCGGGACAAATTAAAATATACCATCCTTAATTTTTTATTTTATGTCGATCCTCAAAAATTTGACGCCCCATAAAACACCATAAAATTTGCCGCTCCAGCGTAGTTGCCCCCCTTGCCTCCTGTTAAATCTCTGATCAAAATAATACGGGTCTGTATATATTTTTTTCTATAGCACTTTGTTCTAAAAAGTCATTAGTTTTTTGTCTGTCAAAGGCTTAAGGCTACATTTCGCATCCGTAATTTATTGTCAGTTTTAGTATCGCGATCACAATGTGCAGGTTTAATACCTCTAGAGAAGAACTTCTATTATCCTTATATTATGATCCTTATAAAAACACGAAGTGTTGGATTTTTCAAACAATACGTTTTCAATAAATTAATACATTTTCATCTTCACTGGTTATTGTTTTCAAACTAAGTCTTTTTGTCATTTATCACTAGGCCAGTCTATTTTGATTAGTTTAAGAAACGGAAAAAAGTCTTGAGGAAAAAATTACTAGAAAAACGTATTTAGAAAAGTTTTAGAGGAAAAAGTCTATAAGACTTAAAATTAAAAAAAAACTTTTATAGTCACTCTGTATAATTTGTTAGTTTTGTGTGAAAAACACGTTAGTAAAAACAAAATCTACTATTCACATATTATATCTAAATCTAATAATATACACCTTAGTTTAGTGCTGAAAACCATAAATAAAATTGTGATAAAGTTTACTATTTTATACCTACAGCTATATATTTAAGTGTGTTTATATAGTGTCGTTATAAGCTCTTTGGGAAATCCAAACTCAACAGTCATACGTTGCATAATATATTTTGTACACTATCATTAATATTGTCGTACGTCTTCTAAAAATCTACGAATACGTGCCTGATATACACGATTTGAACTAGGTTTTTTTTATTGATTCGTCATTAGATACTATTGGTATTATTATTGAGAGTATTGTTGATTTGCCTTTTCTGGACCAACGCTGGAACGCCTGGAACTATAATACTTTAAATACTATAATAATTATAATATTAGGGATATAATTATTATTTAAGTGCCACTACATTTCACGTACAAATTATTTTAATATGGATTTTAAGTTTAAATAATTAAGAATAATTATGTCGTATATTTATAGGGTACCTGTGACTACTGAACTACTTACTGTAATAAAATAATAAATTATACTAACTATTATAATTTATAATGCAAAATAATTGCATTTTTGTAATTATCTGATAAATGACAATGGGTATTAATAACGGATATTTATGTTATCTGCTGTAAGTTAATTATACTTGATAAATAAGCTTATTCTGACACTGAAGAACTGATTCTCTATTTTCTGATCTGTCAAATAACTCGTGTATTATTTGACAAATAAATTTGATCAATAATAGTTTAACGTATATATATATATGTTTTTTGTAATCTTCTACATTATCAAGTACAATTGTACTGGTGATTTTTTATACGAAGATTTTTTTCCAAAATTCACTAAAATACTCTATCATAATTAATATAAATTGGAGGATTTTAAATCTAAGATTTGAAAAGAAAATTTTTTATGAATTTCTAGCTTAAAATAAATTGCGAATTTTTGTAATTTTTACGTATTTTGTCAAAATACAAACTTTTAATGCTTATAGTCTATAGAAAAAATTGTGGCTATGTATTTCTTTTATTTTTCAACTGCTATTGAAACAATACGTTAGGAGCCTTGTATTAAAATTTCAAGCTTTTGTACTTAACAAATACATTTTTATCGATATTAATTTTAAAAAAAACTAATTATGATCGACAATTGCATATGCCTATGTTCAACTTAAATCGAAATTTTTTTTAAATTGCATGGTGGATAGAATATACTTATATAAGCATTCGGTAAAAATTTCATGAATCTATGGTCATTTGTTTTAAAGTTACATCAAAAATCAAAATCGATTATGTCGAAAACTGATTGTGCGTAAAATTTCACGTTTTTTCCGTAATTTTTAGTTTGTTTATCCAAATATTGAGAATTTTTTACTCTTGAACTCCAAAGTACCAACAAGATTCACTTTCTGATCTAAGTATCTAACTAGGTACTGAAGTCGAAAATCGAAGCATTTTTACTTCCCTAAAACGTGATGACAGACTACAGACACCAAAAAAAACAAAATAAGCGGGTAATTCGTGGATGTCGCTCTGCTGTACACATAGGTGCAACTAGACCAATAATTTTGGGGGTGCACAAATAGTGAAGAGCTCACTGACCCRTGGGGGCAAACCCCCACATCCCCACACCGTTCATCACATTAGTTTTCATATTACATTTATAAAAAAAATAACTGCTAAGGTAAAATATATATATAATAATATACATATACTTTGTTTTAATAGTGCTACCTAATACAATTTATAGGTTAACAAAATTAAATTATCAGAACTGCCTATTTTAACATGATTTTGCTTGGATGAAAATTATATTTATTTTAAATTTGTTCACTTTTCAAACTATTTGTTATATACCGCTCAATATTTAATATTGATGAATTGGTAAATCGTTGTTGTAACGTACTTTGTTATACCCCTGAAAGAATAGAGTGACACAAATCAAAATATAAAATATATTTTTCATGAGTATTCGAGTATTTATTCCAAATACTTTTCAGAAGTATTTTTTACACAAGACTGCATCATAGTTGTTTTAAACTGTGTCTCTGGCTATGTCTACAGTTATAATATTGTAGACAATGTTTTTATTAGATGAATAAAATTGGTAGATATAATTATTTTTAATTTAATTYAAATAAAAATKTYATGATCTCYACGAATATATATTAACCATTATAATAAAATATATCCGCAAATTTCACCATGTCCTCAAAAAATTTCCAGTCAGGCCGGTTTATTAATTTGAAAAAGTAAACATTTTTTTATCAAACATTTGAATTTTTAAAAGGATTAGGTACTTCAAATAATTTAATATTTACTACTGGTTAATTAGTAAATGTTTACTYTTTTCCATTTAATAATAACTGTTTTTCACATTGCTTGTTTAATTGTGTATGTAATAGTTTATATAACACTGAAATAGATTTAAAATTTAAAAAAGGGTAGGTCAGCATTGCGGTGTAGGAAGTTTGTCCATCGTCCTTTCGGTCCTCGGACAGGATAGTGTAATCTTATACAGTATTCAATTTGAATGCAATAATTGCATTCGATAAAAAAAATGATTCTGAGTGGACGAAAGAATATTTTTTATTTTATTTGATATTTAAATATTATTCATTTCTATGTTGATRAACAAAGCGTTTTTTGCAAAGCAAAATTGAAATCCCGTTCTTTCGTAATTTTTCGGTGATTTTTTATCGTGGCGTTAAAAAACTATTGGGATAATTGAAAAATTACCTTCCTAAAGTACCACCTAGATCCAATTTGCTAAAAAAAAGATACTATATAATATTAATATGTGGCGATTCGGAGCACTCCTTCTGGTAGAATTTTTTTAACAGTATAAAAAAAAAACATTATTGTACTACCAAAATTAAGTCAAAATGTTGAAAAGTTTTGAAGATATATAAACAAATGAGCGATAGGTTTAGTTTTGATAAAAAAGTTAGACCAACTATTTAAAGGGTATTTTTTCATCATTTTTAGTATATGACGTTGGCCAGTCACTTCCTCCTGGAGGCCTGGAACACATTGTATTTATTTGTATATTATACAATATGCGATTAGTATATCTAATATAGGTACATAACATAATAGGCACCTACCTATTTTTCTCAATATAGGTATCTACATTATGGTACATTGGTATCACATATTAAAGAAAAAGACATATATTTTTTGGGAGTGCACATTTTAAACTTGGGGGTGCACAGGGGACTTGTGCACCCCCCTAGTTGCGCCAATGGCTGTACGGTAGGTTACTGTAATGGATGGGATTAAATTTGAATGCAATGATTGGTATCATTGTATACGAAAAACGATTCTGAA